TTCGAACTCAAGAGAAAGAAACATATAACTGACCATGTCCAAAAACGGGTTCAGGTAGGAATATTCCTACTCTGTCTAGACTGGTGCCAGCGAGGGCTTTATATGTATTGCGCATGTGCGAGTCAACGTTTATTTTTATTTTTATTTATTTATTTTTTTACAGAGAGGAAGGGAGAGGGATAGAGAGTTAGAAACATCGATGAGAGAGAAACATCGATCAGCTGCCTCCTGCACACCCCCTACTGGGGATGTGCCCACAACCAAGGTACATGAATTTGTTTCCCATCCTCAGAAAGTCCCTTGTGACTATGTGCTCAACCTCCCATACTGGAGTTTTCTCGCACTGTGCTCAATCCCCCATATTGGAGATGTCTCATACTCTCCAAGATCTGCTTCATCCCTCTCTGGCTGCTTCCCTTGCAGGAGAATAGAACTGTAGATGAGAACTCTGCACTCACTTTATGTCCAAGATACATCCCAGTCACATATGCCCGACCTCTGAGTAGTACAATCACCAAAGTAGTACTCAGTCTAATTCCCCACCTTGGCTCATGCATGAGGTTACCTGATTGCCATGGTTCTTGCTTGTTTGGGCCCTTCCCATGTTGCTGGCTGACTCTCGATCCTGAGCTCATAGTTAGCCTGGGGGGAGGGGTGGTAATGGCTGTCCCTCCTCAACGAGGCTGCTGCAACTAGGCAGCAGGGTGCGCCTCTTCAACTGAGGGCTCCAATTTTCCTCCGTAGAGACAAATGGAATCCCGGACGAGCCCCCAAATTGTTAGAAATAAGGCGAGCCCCCAAAATCATGGGTCCTGGTAGAACACAAAGCATACTCAGGAGCCAGACAGCAAGTGAATATCTTTACTCCTTCAGGAGGGGGTGCATGCACATGGTCTGGGAGCATGTGCACACTGAGAGGGCGGTCCACTGGGGCTGACTCACATGATCTGTCCCTCGCTTGTGATTGGTCACAGAGCTTAGGCTCATACTCTTGTGCAGGGGTCCTCAAACTTTTTAAACAGCGGGCCAGTTCACTGTCCCTCAGACATTCCACACATGCGCACTGCGGGCCCGGGACGAGTCGGCTGCTAAGCAGGACAGGCAGCGGTGGCAAAAACACCCAGCGGGCCGGATAAATGTTTTCGGCCGGCCGCATGTGGCCCGCGGGCCGTAGTTTGAGAACCTCTGCTCTTGTGCAATTGGCTAATTTAAAGGAAGGGGTTGACCTTTGCCATTTCAAAATGGCAGTCCCCAGGGGAGCTGCAAGTCACTTGAGCCAAAATGGCATGTGCCTAAACTCCCTTCTTTGGCAGAAAAGATTACTTGTTTATTCTCACATTGATTATGCTGCTCCTACTAGAATATAAGCTCTATGAGGTCAGGGATCTTTGTCAGTGTTGTTCACTCAGATATCTCAAGCACCTAGAACAGTGCTCAGCACTTAGTAGGTTCTCCATACGTATGTGTTGACAATGGGTATATGTTGTTATGTCTGCTTTGCCATCATGTCCCCCCTCAGACCCAAGTGTAACCCCTGGCATATGGAAGGCCCTCAAAAAGTCATATAGAAAAGTGGCCACATGGTGATTGAGTCAACGGGTTTGTGAGCAAACAGATCAATTAGTGAGCCAATCAGAGCCTGACTGGGGAAAATGCTAAGTAGCTTCATAGATTCTTTAGGAGAGACATTTTCCTTTTTAAAGTTTAATTTGTCCTTGATATCTTTTCAGCCACATTCTTCTTTCTGAACAGTCCTGATGCTGAGGGCGGGGACAGTCATTTTCTCTCTCTGGGAATGTTCTGGAGTGAGTTGTGGACAAAAGAGTGACATTGAAATAGTCTGGGAAGCAGCCACATTGAGAGGTAGAGCTTAGAAGAAAGAGCTCAGGTGAGGGGCAAAGAGGGGAACCAAACAGGAGTCTCGGAAGTCGTGTCCACTTGAACTTGGGAACCTTCTAACCTTCTGTGTTACAGTCAGTGTAGCAGTTCTGCTCCTAGTTCTGAAACCTGGACATCTTCCCCAGATAAGAGAAATCAGAAAACACCACAAAGAAGGATGGGACCATTGGAATGAGATCTGAAACTGGAAGAAGAGGTGGAGAGAAGGAAACAGAGTGGGAGTGAGAAGAGCAGGCAAGAAGAGAATGGGAAAGGTGGGGAGAGGAAAGGGAGAAAAAGTAGGAGAGAAGGAGAGATGGAGAGAGGGCACGAGAGAAGAAGAGATCCCCGGGAGCCTGAGAGGAGAGGGAAACACACCGCCGGTGACAACAGTGGCTATTGTTTATGGGCACTTGCTGTGAGCCAGCCTGGCACGGTGTGCTTTACGTGTCTTAGCTCATTTAATCCTTGCTCCCCTCCATGGGTGCAAGTTCTATTTCATTACCCTCATTTACAGATGAGCACATTGAGGTCCAAGTGAAGCCAAGAAATCCGACCCAAGTCACATCTATATCTCTCTATCTCTATCTCTATCTCTATCTCTATCTCTATCTCTATCTCTATCTCTATCTAAGTAACCGAACAACCCGACTGAACAGCCGGTCGCTATGACATACACTGACCACCAGGGGGCAGACACTCAACACAGGAGCTGCCCCCTGGTGGTCAGTGTGCTCCCACAGCAGGAGTGCCACTCAGCTGACCGGCAGGCACCAGACGTCTGGCTCGAAGCTGGTGAGTGCAGCTTCAGCGGCGTGAGCCTCTCCCGCCTCCGAGGCAGTGCTACTGAGCGTCGATAGCGGCAGGTGCAGCGGGACCGGGATGAGCCAGCCTGCAGGGATCGGGCCAAAACCAGCAGTCCAACATCCCCCGAGGGGTCCCGGATTGCGAGAGGGCACAGGCCAGGCTGAGGGCCCGTCCGGTGCACGAATCCGTGCACAGGGCCTCAAGTAAGTAATAAGTGGTGGAGCTGGGATCTGAACTCTGGCAGTCTGACTCAAGGGTCCACCCGTTGAGGTTTAGTCTCTGAAGTCTAGTCCACTTGAACTTGGGAACCTTCTAACAGTCTGTGTAACAATCAGTGTAGCAGATAAGGATTATGATTTTTCCAAAGAGCAGTAAGCAGCCACTGAAGGTTCTTTAAGCAAAGGACTCATATGACCTCTCAGCTCTAGAGAAGATGAGTAACTCCTTCCTCTCCTGAGGGGCAGTTGTGGAGATTATCTTGGTTCATGGAGGGAACAAGTCCTTGGACAAATGCCTGGAGGAAGAGCACTCAAGGAAAAATTCTTCAGAGGAGGTGGCTCCAGTAGCTACACATGGGTATCTACTGCCACCGTGTGGCAACTTTTCTATATGACATGCTATGGATTTTAGCTAAAATCGGGTCTGGGCAGTGAGAAATGGTTTCATTGGGGCTGGGGCCAGGGGCAATGGGCAAGCTCCCACAGAGGAGCGGTGTCCTGGGGGTGAGGTTTGAGCTGAATAGGTGCAGAACCCTGAAGGGGATTGACGGGTCCAGACATTCAGCCCTGGTTTGGTGACACAAACCAAAACGAGAAGCAGTTCTTGCCGTAGAGCAGCAGTCGCCAACCTTTCATACCTCACGGACCACCAGTGGTCCGCCGACCACCGGTTGGCGACCGCTGCCCTAGAGGACCTCCTCGTCCAATGGGGAGACATCATGGGAGATACATTTGTGTCCCGGAATCAGCGAGGACTCCTGGGTCCAAATCCCAGTCCTGCCACTTCCTGGGACCTCACTTCTCAGAGCATCCGTTTCCTCAGATGTGAAATGGGCACAGAATAGACCTGCCTCTGGGGATTGTTGGGACATTGTCACCACTCAGTATGTGGCCCAGAGGCAGGCTGCCCAGGCTGCTCTGAGCCTCAGGAAAGAGGAGCCAAGCAGCCAGGTGCAATGAAAAAACCTGGATCCCAGCTCCATCGCTGTCACCCCACTTGCTGTATAACCTCCCCTCTCAGAGCAGCCATACAATGCGGAGTTTGGATAAAACCACTCAGCTCTCCTCTCACTCTAATTGATCCATCCTCTTTCCAGGCCAGCCACAGGGGGTTATAGAAGAAGATCCAGAAAGCTTGCCTCTACCCATTCACATACCCACCCTGAGCATCAGCAAAACAGAGATATGAATGCAAGCCCCATCCAACCACAAGGTGCCTGGGAGGCAACTACAATGATGATGTGGGAGCTGGTGCAATCTGCAAACTGCAGAGCTGTGCTCCTCACAGGGTGGTCCACGGACCAGTATCGACATCGCTTGGGTTGCTGTGAGAAATGTAGACTCTCCTGTACCATCTGACCCACTGACTCAGAATCTGCAGTTTAACTCAGTCCCTAGGCGATTGCTACACACATTGAAAATGAGCTGGACACACACTGGTCGGAGGCAATGGCTCTCAACCTTGACCACACAGTAGAATTACCAAGGGGTCTTTAAAAACTGTGAAGCCCAGGTGGCACTCCAGGGGGTCTCTGGGGTTGGGGCCAGGCCGCGGATAAAAGCTCTCCAGTGTAAACAGTATCACAAATGGAGCCACTTTAAAATGCCAGAGCTGCCACCGCAGAGGAACTGCCTTACACCTCAGACCTTGGAATGTTAAAAACAGGGCACAATAACCTTGGGGTGGGACCTAAGCGACCTTGTGCCTTGCAGAAGGACATTTGCAATGATGATAAGACGGCAGTTATGACGACTAGATGATCAGTGGCCCGGAAATTAAAAACATTGTTTAGAATTAACATCGCCGTGTTCTATTATCTGCGCCAACAGAAATGTCTTCGTTCTACTGATGCAATTTCCCCCTTCCCTTTCTCATAAATACCCATTGCCTTTGTCCTTTTTTTAAAAAAAATTATGTTTATTGATTTCAGAGAGGAAGGGAGAGGGAGAGAGAGATAGAAACATCAATGATGAGAGAGAATCATTGATTGGCGGCCTCTTGCATGGGATCAAGCCTACAACCCGGGCATGTGTCCTGACTGGGAATCAAACTGTGACCTCCTGGTTCATAGGTCGGCACTCAACGCGTGAGCCACCATGACCCGGTACCACTGATTTTTTTTTTTTTAAGAGAGTGAAAGGGCGGGGGAAAGACACACAGAGAGAAACATCAATGTGAGAGAGACATCAATTCCCGCAAGCTCCCTTGACCAGAATTGAACCTGTGACCCTTCAGGTTGCACTGAGGAAAACCGTCTAGGGCAGCGGTTCTCAACCTGTGGGTCGCGACCCCTTTGGTGGTCGCACGACCCTTTCACAGGGGTTGCCTAAGACCATCCTGCATATCAGATATTTACATTACGATTCATAACAGTAGCAACATTACAGTTATGAAGTAGCAACGAAAATAATTTTATGGTTGGGTCACAACATGAGGAACTGTATTTAAAGGGCCAGAAGGTTGAGAACCACTGGTCTAGGGCTTATCCCCATTTATAGATGAGGAAACAAAGAAGGGATGACTTACCCAAGGCCACACAGGCAGGGACAGAATTGGGATTTGAACCGAGTCATTTCAATGTTTAACAACTAGGCTTGCCCCGGCATGGTAGCTCGGTCGGTTAGTGTTGTCTTGATACGCCAAGGTTTTGAGTTTGATCCCTGGTTAGGGCACATACAAAGAGCAAACAATGAACGTATAAATCAGTGGAACAACAAGCAGTGTTTCTCCCTTCCCTTCTCTCTCTCTCAAAATCAATTAACAAAAACATTAATGAAACAAAACGACTAGGCAGACCCCAGTGGTCTTCAAACTGTGTTCCTTGGAGACCCAGTTCCTCAGAGGCAGCGGAGGAGCTGGTGCGGGGGTGGGGGGGGGGGGTGTGGGCTGCGGCTGGGAGGCCGGTGGGTGGGCTGTGTCCGGGCAGCCCGCCATCATCTCTTTTATATTGGGTTTGACAAAGACTTTCTGGGGAGACTGTTTCTTCGCTGGCCAGCCCGGAGCATCGTGGGTCACATGCTGCTGCCAGCCTCCCTGACAGATGTTCCCCCCTCCCCACTGGCTGCTGGAGGGGGGACCCCAGGAACTAATCCCCATGGCTGAGGGCACAGAGGGCTTAGTGCTGGGGAAATCGGGCACCACGTCTGCCAGCCCCTGGGGAGCCTGGGTGAAGCCTGCGGCTCAGAGCCCAGGAAGCCGTCCTGTCCCTGGAACACTGAGACCCTGAGAGGCATTGGCCAGCCATGGCGGGGCCTGAACTGCCCTGCCCTTCCTGAGCCTTCCAGAGGGTGAGTTGGGGTTAGGTACCCGGGGCTCTGATGGAGGGGTGGGGGGTGGGGTGTGTGTGTGGGTGGTGGTGACCAACTCTTCGGCTGGGACTGAGGAACTTGGGATGTTCAATGCTAAAGTCAGGACAGACCCGGGCAGACCAGATAGCTGGTCACCCTCGCGGGGTTTCTGAGCTGGCCTCCCCTTGCCTTTGAGGCGGGGCTTCATGAAGGGGAGGGCTTGCTTTGCCCTCTCTCCTCCTAGCACTTCTCTGTCCCCTTCCTCTCTTTCCAGCCCCGCCGGCCCCGCCATCTCTCTCTCTGCCTTCATCCTGTGACTGAACCTCCCACTCACAGTGTCTCCTGGGCTGTGGACCTGAATCCTCAGCCAGCTGGGACCTCCCACGCCTTGGAGAGAATGAAGACCCAGGTGAGGCATGGCCCCACGCGGTTTGCTTCAAATATGAGCCTAGATCGCCCTCAGCACCGTCATCGTCATCACCCACATTCCTAGGGTGCGCACCCCTGGCCAGGAAGCTCTCAGTGCTTTGCGTGTATTAGCTCATCGAGTTCTCAAAACCAGAAACGGCTCCTCTTCCTTTTCACATCTCCAGGCCTCTGATCGGAGTGCCCTCAACTCATCCCCAACTCCCTGCTCAGGGGAGCTTTCCTTCTCGTCCCCAAGGCTGAGCCCACGGGCACCTTGGAGCCCCCAGAGCTCTGTGCCCATGATCTGTGTACATCTGTCTCCCAGAGAAATTACCATAACACTAGCTACCCCCGGTGAGCGGCTTGCAGCATCGTCTCGTTTACTCTTACCTAGATTCCGTGGGGTGTAGGACAAAGGCCATTCCCATTACGCCGACGAGAAAACTGCGTCTCAAAGAGGTGAAGTCATTTGTCCAAAGGTAGTAAGGGCGGAACCTGATCACGTCGTCTTCGCCTGGGCCCAGAGCCCTGTGTCTGGCCGCTCCACGTCCTGCTGGCTCCACAGGGGACAGATGCTGGCCAAAGGCACTGAGCCTCAGGAGGCAGCACTGCGCCCAGCACACAGCTTGCCCTTGGGGATTGTTTCTGAATGTTTGACTGGACAGGAAGGGCTGCCCAGAGTGGGCAGTGGGAAGGAGGAGGTGAGGGTCCGTGGCCTGGAGACCACCCGGGAAGGAGCTGGGGTTGCTGTGTTATGGGTGGGGGCTGGGAGAGCCTTGGCTGTTCCTGAGCTCCCCCCCCCCCCCCCCCATGGCCCCGCAGAGATTCCTAGTGGCTGTTGCAAGTGCAAACGTGAGCAGCAGGTGAGCAGCTCAGAGGTTAGATACTGGCTGCACCTTTGGGTCTATGGGAACAAATCCTGAGATAGGAGACAGACGTGAGATGCGGCTGGGCCCCAGAGGAGGGCTGCAAGTTGGGGGTGCAGAGGGTGGGGTGTGCACAGTCCAGAGCGACACTCCCAGCTCCATCATTTGCTGCTCATGACCTCAGCAAGTCATGTAAAGTCTCTGCACTTCATTCTTCACCTGAACACGTGGCGCCGTGGGTGCCTGTCAAGGGGATTGGCA